GGACCACCTTAGATGATGTCTTTGGGCCTACATTTTCCTAGCCTTTGGGCCACATTTCCTGTCCTTTGGGGACTTCTTTGTTTAGCCTTCGAGCCTTCATATTTTATCCTTTTTGGACTTTTGTTTTAGCATTTTTGCTTTCTTTACTTAGTGGGTGAGTGGGAGTTATGTTCCCTCCCCCTTATCTTTTATTTCATTTAATTTGCTTAGTGGGTGAGTTGGAGACTTGTTCCTTCCACCCCTATCTTTATTTATGCGAATAAAACTGCTTTTACTTAAAAAAAAAAAAATAGGGCAAGGTTCCATGACATTGCCCGACAATATCATGGGATAACCCGGGGGCGCTCTGTTGTCCCGTTCGTAAAATTGACAGTTCCTTTAGGTTGTAGAAACCGTCAATTTTACAAACGAGTCACCGGAGCGCCCCCGGATAAGAGTGTTCAAAAATATTCGATCCAAAAAATCCGCCCACGATTCGGGCCGATCCGATCCGAAAAATAGATATTCGATCCGATATTTTAGCTTTCGGATATTTCGGATCGGTTACCCGAGAAAAATCGGATCGGACATGGATTCAATTTCTTGAATTTTTCGGATAATCGGATATTCGATTCAAGCAGTGACCTATTGCATGCATGAGAGGTCAACCTATTGCATGCATGAGAGGCTAACTACCATCTAGCTACAATCCCTTTTGATGCATGAAGACATTATTAGTTATATATTACATTCTTAAAATATACAAATATACATATTCTAAACAGACTTTTTTTATTTTTAAAAATTTTAAAAATATATTGTTGAAACTGTTATTCAAATTCTAAAATATTGATGCAATTGATTCTAATATGAACTTCATATCACAAAACTATTAACTCATTTAAATATTTTAAAAATGTTGTGTAAATTATAAAATAAAAAATATAACTTCTTATTTTATAATTTTTTATTTGTTTAAATAAATAACTATATATATATATATTTATTTATTTATTTATTTATTTATTTATTTATGTGTGAACCATTGGTCCGACCAGTGAACCGGTGAACCAATGCCTTGACCGGTTCAGTCTCCGGTCCGGTTCTGAAAACTATGCATATTCCTGACACGGAATATCGCATTCAGTACATACGAAACTTCTTATTTCATTTTCTTATAAAAAGCCAATTCTCAATGGAGTATTTTTTTGCTAATAGAACCCAGTTCCCATATGCCATACGGCTTTATTTATTTACTCCTTCCCACAAAGTATATATATAGTACTAATCTAAAAATGTTTCATTCAGATTCTAATCTTCACTTGTGTTTTATATATTTTTCCAAATTTTAGTGATGACATCTAATTTTGCTATAGATCATATAAAAATATTTTTTAACATATACTAATTCTTAATTTTAATCTAATTTTAGTTGTTATATAAAAAATAATTTTATCCTTTATTTTTTTAAACAAAAATAGATGTATATTGTTCATGGTAAAAAAAGTTGTTTTATTTTAAAAAATATGAGTTAACATGTTAAACAATATTTCCATGTTATCTATAATAAATTAGACGTCGATAAGAATTTGAGACAATAAACAAGCTAAGAGACAAGGGAAGAACATGATTGAACAAAAAAGAATACTCCGTAATATATTGACTAAATTGTTTCAATTTCAGTAGAGGGACTAAGATCATGTTTGTTTCACCTCATTTGAATTGACTAGTGCATTTTTGAAGTAGATGTATTATTTATGAGAGCGTAAATTTTTATTTTTTTATTTCTATATTAATGAGAGCGTTAATTTTTTAGAATATAATTTTTTATTTTTTTATTTCTATATTAATTTATAAATAAAATAATTTTAAAAGTTTTGAGATTTTAGACGCTGATCAAAGAATGTAATTCTTTTTGAGGGGGCGGACGGATGGACAGATGAGACAATGAATAATGGACGGACACACAGATTTGTCTTTACGTGAATGACATTAAGCTGAGAAATGTACTTCTGGAGAAGAGGATGATTGCCCAGATATTTTTCTAACCACTGTGAATATATTGATGAGATGGTGGCTGGGAAAGCTCCTTTGAAAGGAGAAAGAATTTAGATAGGAATGATAACTTGTAGCAGAGAGAGAGAGAGTAAATTTTGATAAATGAATTTACAATAGTATTGGGTTCAAAAATAAAAAAATAGCATAGTATTTATTTTTAAATGATATAATAAAATAAATATTAAACTATGCATTACCCATTTCATAAAAAGGTTCTACCCTTGACTTAACACCCATATTATAAAAAATGAAATTGTTCGATTAAAAATAATGCAAAGGTTTATTGAAAAATTATAAGGATCAAAAACATATTTCCAAAAGTGAAAAGTGAAACTCTTTGTTGGGACACACCAAAAGAGCAATGTAGAATATTTTTATGTAAGCAGGAAAGTAATAATTAACTTACAAGAAAAATACAAAATAAATCTAATGCTGCAAAACTTTAAAATTTTAGAGTAAATTTCATAAAAGGTCCCCAGTTATAGGCCGTTTTACATATTTAGTCCCTACATATCAAATATTACTAATTTAGTCCCCAATTAATACTCCCTCCGTCCAAAAATAAACTTCCCACTTTCCTTTTTTGTCTGTCCACAAATAAACTTCCCATTTCCTTTTTTGGAAACTTTTTTACACTAAAATATCTTAACTACACTCACTTCCCCATTGCTTATCTTTTCTTTTTTCTTCCTTTTCCCACCCGGTTAACTCACCACCATCCACTGTTCTTTCTTTCTTATCCTCTTCATTCATATTTTTCTCTCTTCCTCTTCATCTTCGATCATCTTTCTTTTTTCTTTCTTTTCTTATTCTTCTTCTTCTTTGTTTTCTTTCTTTTCTTATTCTTTCTTCTTCTTTTCCTCGTAGCTAGTCGGCTGGCCGGATTCAGCCATGGCGGCGCTGCAATACCTGGACTCGCTTCGCAATGCACACCCTGAACTCTCCGATTGGTACACTAACCTCGCAGATCTGTGCCAGAGAAAGCTCTGGCACCAGCTCACTCTCAAGCTGGAGGAATTCGTTTCCCTATCCCATCTCAAATCTTATCAGAGGTAACACGCTGAAGCAGCAAGGCAGTGGTCGGAGATGACGCCGCAGTTGGATCTGCTCCTCTTCCAACATAGTCGCCATCAATTTCATAGATCTACAAGTCCTCCGTTGCTCATAACTCAGCCTCTCGCCGTTAAACCCTCGGATTCAAGACATTCACCCTTGCCTAAGTTGTCTTCAACGAGAACCAGAACAGATCTACAAAGTGGGGATTATAGAAGAGAGGCCATCCATGGTGGTGCCGGAGATTTGCCGTCGGCAGTGCCAGAGGGTCATCAGCATGAATGCATCGTGGACAGAGGGATGTTGGAGAGGGTCAGGATTGAAGAGGTGTGGGGGTATAATTGGAAAGTCAAGGCCATTTTTATCACACATTAATATGCGTGCCCGGTCAAACCGGGAAGTTTAATTTTGGACAGAGGGAGTATATTCATTTCCACGAATGGTCCTTTGTTGACATTTTCGTTAAGAACGTGGATAAAATTATAAATTCACACTCCTTTCTCTCCTCAATTAACGCATTCCTTTCCCAAACACGTCGCTGAGTTTGAAGCTTTACACCCAAAATCAAAATCACCACTCTTCTCTAAATTGTTTGTCTAACTGGTGGAAACCAAATTCGAAACCAGTAACCTTCATGGACGAGTTTTAATGTTTATTTTCTTTGCAATTTCATGAGACTAACCGATAAAACTCATCCGTAAAGCTTATTGGTTTTGATTTTAGGTTCCATCAGGAAGACTAATAAATGAGAGAGGAATAATCATTTTAGTTTTGAGTTTAAAGCTTCAAACTCAGCGATGAGTTTGGGAAAGAGTACGAGAGGGGGGAGGAAACTTAATTGAGGAGAGAGAAGTATGAATATACAATTTTATCCATTTTCTTAACAAAAACGTTAACAAAGGACCATTCGTGAAAAATGATATAATAATTGGGGGCTAAATTAGTAATATTTGATATGTAGGGACTAAATATGTAAAATGACCTATAACTGGGGACCTTTTATAGAATTTACTCAAAATTTTATATGCAATACTGGTCTCATTTAAGAGATCTAAATGAAACATGATAAACCGGACTAATTTTTATCAAATACCCCGGAGTAATTATTTGTGTATAAAAAGTTAGAAGTAAAATAGATCATGTAGGGAAAAAAATTTAAAAAATGAAAATCATCTAAAAATTGAACAATAGCGGCTTTGAGAAGATAGCGTCTAAAGAATTACTCCCTCCGTCCCGGAGTATTCGTCCAGTTTTGACTTTTGAAACTGTTCATCTAAGCACTTTGACTCATCAAGTTCTCTCAATGTGTAAGCCTAAATATAGTCATGTGTGATCTTGTTTGATTTGTCTTAACATATAGATTATTAATATATAATTTATATAATTTTTTAATATACAAATTACAAGATAAAATGGATTAAAGAAGTGTATTGGATGGTGTGTAAAAATGAAAGTGGACAAATACTCTGGAACGGAGGTAGTAATAGAAATCACCTTAAATAGGACTAAAACATAGTGAAAAGTACCAAAATAGGACTTTCATGTTTTTTTTCCCGAAATAGGACTTTGCACTGTGGTAATGTAACTTTGCACTGTGGTAACGTGGCAGTGTACATGTGTACATTACTATACTTTTTTGGTTATGTATATGACCATGTATGGTAATGTAAGTCCTATTTCGGAAATAAAAACATGGAAGTCTTATTTTAGTATATTTTCAATGTTTTAATCCTTTTTTTCCATGGAATTTATTAGGGAGTACATAAAATTGTCCGGTTGGGGGAATTTCTCCTGCGTCCCTTCTTCTCCTTTCTCCTTCTTTCTTTTTTTTCTCTCTTTTTCTTTCTCCTTTTCCATCTTCCTCATCTCTCCTCCGTTCCTCCTATCTCCGCCGGCTCCATCAACATGGATAATGTACTGATCCTTTTTCCGACGCCCAAGAGATCGAGACCGCCGACAAGGTCCCCCCCCTTTCGTCGACACCTTCTACAACCTCGTCACGGACATTTACGAGTGGGGTTGGGGCCAATCCTTCCACTTCTCCCCCTCCATCAAGGGGAAATCCCATCGCGATCTGCTCGGAGTTGAAGGCCGGCGACCGAATCCTGGACGCCGGCTGCGGCGTGGGGGGTCCGATGCGTTCCATTGCTGCCCGTCCTAGACGCCAGTTTCTCCTCTTTCTTCAATT